CTAGCACTGATTTTCCTGGTCGAGATAATTCGTTTTATGCCTTAGTTTTTCGTGGCAAATACCAGCTCTTATGAATTAAACCTTGAGGTTGCTCTTTTTTAGAAATGCTTATTATGTTTTATGTACAAATTACGCAAATATGAACGTACATACGTGTAATATCATGCAGATATATGCTAGGTAAATTGTGTTACCTAATTGTACTCGGAAATACCTAACCTGATTTCTTTGTAGAACGGCTGACGCAACGCAGTAAGCTACACCACCGCTCTCCAAGCCCTTTAATTATTTCCGGAATCGGTGCCACTCTGAAGGGCGCGCGCGGCAGCTGCAAGGGCAAGGGCGAGGGCGAGAGCCAATGCGAGGGCTGCGTGCCAGCTGGGAGCAGCGTGCTTGGCGCGGCGCGACGCTCGTGTGAGAGTGTGTGCGTGTGCGTGTGTGTGTGTGCCACGCAAGGCCGCCCCCGCGCTGCTAACGCGCTCAATGAGAGTGCCTCCCGCACGTTGGCCCCCTCTCCGCCACCTCCGCCGCCGTCACATTGCATCGCGTCCCTGTCGCCACGCTAGAGTGAATCTGGAGCATTGCGGCGACACTTTCCACAAAGGCTGACACCAAGGCAACGGCGGATCCAGGCGGTGGGCATTTCCTCCCCCCCATCCCCCCCCCACACACACAAAGGGCATGAGAGTTTACATTCCGTATACTTTCCGTTATTTGGCACAATGAATTTAAATATTCATTAATGTTCGAATTATGTAATTATTTAAACAATAATATTTTATAGTATCGTATCTACAATTCATAAATAATATACAATATTTAAAAAATTGCTTATTATTTAACAAAAATCTACAATGGGCCCCTCCAAAACGATCAGCTGGAGCCATTCCTTCACCAAGGCACGAAGTTGTCGCTTGCTTGTTTGCAACGGAGTCCACTCGGATCTGGATTTACCTCTGTTTCGATACGAGTAAGGGAGAAGAAAAACGATGGCATGTGTATGCCATTGTTATTGCTTTATGTTGCAGTTTGACAGATGCGCTTCCTTTTATTCTCCTTTGAATTAATTTACCAAATTATCTGAGACACAGAACTAGGCGCTCCCGGCCCACTTCATGTTGCGCATTTTCTTACAGTAACGGCAGTTACAACGGGCGTATTTTTAAGATTTCTCGAATTTTTTGCGTTAGCGTTTTATTGTCTTTCGGCAGGCGTTCCAAATATGGTAACAAAACGTAGTTTTTTTATCCCTCCTCCTTTTGTTTTTTGTTGTTTTTACACTAACAGCTCTCCCCACGAGATAAACGTTCTATTCAAAACCCTTCTCTCATCTTAAATATTTATGATAGCATTTTATAGAAAACAACGTTGAATTTACTTGGCATTTAAGTACTATTTTGAGTTTTTAATTTTACGATAATCTTACGTTTAATAAACATAATAATGGTTTGCCAAAAATGTATGGCAATTATTTTTTTGTTACGACATGATGCTAACGTATAAATACGAATTTTCCAAGGACAGAAATCTGCAGTAAGGGAAATAATAAGGTAGGAAAACAACCTTCGTTAAAACTGCAGTTTCTTTAAACATGCAAATTTACGCGCGTACTCTCGTTGTGAGAATGGTTCGAGCACCTATCGCCTTCGGTTATTTTTGTTTTGTGCTTCTTCTCTTGTTTTTCGACATCAGCTACACAGCTAGGCTGTCAGGAGGAGTATTCTAGCACCCGGCTGCCCTGATCGGTAGTTCAGTTCGGCTGAACTCCCTATTACAGTTACTGTACCACACGTCGAGAGCTTAAAGCTTGACCCAGCTGGTCGGAGATACATTGTCGGGAAGACCACGCAAGCTGACGAGGTAGTCGCCGGATCTCATCGACCATCGGGGAAGATCGTCACTACAGCCCGCCATAAACATGTACTACACTTACGAGATTAACGAAGTTATCATATTACGTGCTCGTACTCTTTTATGAAAGGGGCCCGGATAAAAATTTTGTGGGCGGGCCCGCACTCGTATCGTTGCGCTACTGTGCGTATCTCAAGATTCTCCAAAACAGTTTTCTTTTTGAAATGCTGCCAATTAATATGCGCCCGGGCGGGAGGTGCGGGGGCGGAAGCGGGCGAGAGCGCATCCGCGCCCCGGGGCGAGCGGTGGGCGATCAACGGTGCTTCCGCCCAATCGGCTCTCTCCTCTCGTTCCCCTTTCGTGAGCAGCCTCCGCGGCGAAAATTGGAGCGGGTGATGTATGCAAGGCCGCACGAACAACTCGAAACGTTTTCTCTCAAACAAACACACTTCGCTGCAAGGCTATTCGCTACAGTCGGTAAATATATTTTCTTCCAGTATTTGCAAATATGTGATGCCATCAACGTTATTTTTGAAACCACTGAGATTAACAAACACTTTCTGCTAATCGCCGTCTATTTACATAGGGAATAGAATACAATGACGACGACGCTAGGGTACAAAAACTCGTAAATGAGGATACTTTTGAATGTTTTCTTTACGAACTTTAATAAGTTTACTTTTTCTTAGACAAGAGTGAAATCATGGAAACAGTGTAGCTCTTTTCCCATCTTATCAAATTCTTTCAGTGTCTAGCAAATAATACAAGACTTATGTTCAAATTTATGTCGAGCTCATTCGAACTAAAACTCATTTGACGCGCGTTGCACTGTCCTGAAATTCAGGGTCAGGTGATCTAGTGCCGAGGGTCTACATACAGATAAACGTATTTAAATACATAATACATGAACAGGGTCGCCCAGAAGGGTGGGATGGTAGCAGCTGGGGCAATTTGTCCTAAGGCCTCACTTACTGGGGTACCGAAAATTTTTTCATTCAAATTATATAAAAAATATACTTGCTTTTATTTCAAATTATCTAATTTAATTTATTTGCGTTACTCGCAGAGATGAATTGTACTGATATGTTGGGGAAGAGGATCAAGCATTGCGTCAATATCTCTCGTCTATGGATTCGATATTGATATCAATGGTTTTATAAAATCGTCAATGGATTTAACATCGATTTTTTAAAGCCAATGGTTTGTGTTAGATGTTTGTACGTGGGTGGTATTTTATTTGTGAATGAAAAAAATACCATCATAATAAACTTCAATTTATGGATATCTGAAAATTATCACGTTCTTCAGACCAAAGTGACCAAGATTAAAAATTATTAAAATTGAGATTTTGTCCGTTAACGAAGTTCGTATAATTTTATAATTATCCAGTCACGTCATTCGTTTTTTCTCATATGTTCTGGTCATTTTGGGTCTTTTGTCAGTTAAACCTCAAACGCAACCACCATCAAATTACCACCCTTTCCCCGCGTAATCTTACTAATATAGTTTTAAAAATGGCGTTTAAAAATATCTATGGTTTTACGGCTATGTTTTAAAAGCATCGACGATTTAATTTTCAACATCGTTTCGAAACCTCGACGCGGTTATGGGCGATGTCACGTCCTTACACTCGTCCTCGGAAGTGGAGCTGAATGGCGTCGCTTGTCAGCGCAGAAGCAGCGCAGCACAGAGCCGCCTGATTTGTGGCCTCCTGCGCCGCGCCTGGCACGGCCTCCCTGACCCCGGGGTAAGACGTTCCGATTCTACCGACTCGATTCCGGAAGCGATTCTTTTATTTCGGTTCCTGTGGAATCGGTATTCGATTCCTTCGCTTGCGGTACTTGATGGAATGGATTCCAAAAGACCGGAATCGAATCAAATGAATACCTTTATTTAAAAAAGTACATATTCCTACGCTTTTTTTGTATTTTCAGGTTTTTGACGTTTGCGTTTATTAATGTAGGTATTACTTCATTATTAATTTTATAGAAATCCATGTTTGAATTCTACCTTCAACCATGCCTACGTTCAAACAAACGTCCTCGTTCAAATTACATTTTTAGCATTTCAATTTAAAAAAATCTTTTCCTGTCTGGATCTCTTTGTGTGAAGTTGTGTTTCTTTAAATCCGTCACAATTTCGTTGATTAGTTCATACTGTTGTTGATGTTTAATCTATTATATTTTTACTTGGTTAATATAAGAGATATAATTGCTCAATCCCTGTATTGATACGTACGTTGAACGGTGTTCCCATATGATTCCATTCCTCAGGGAATCGATTCTCTGCTTTCGATTCGATTGTAGAATCGACTCCAACTTTTCGATTCTGAGATCGATTCCTTCACGTCCCTACCCTGTTGTTCCACTGCGCGCCACTTCGGCTTCTGACTCGCAAATACTATAGAGAGTACTCTATTGTGTTTATGACCCGGCGCCCGGTCCGTCCCTCGCCCACCGCATCCCGCATCACTGCCAGCGGCCCCACCGTCGACCCGCCCCCTCCCAAATGCGCTTCTTCTACCTCCCAGCCCCTTCCCTGCTACCAACGCCTTCCCTCCCCTAGCATCCGCCTCGTTTACAGCCCTCTGGCCCCACCCACGATCCCTCCATTCTCTCCCTTGAGGGCTTGGCGTTGCGCGGTCACTTCCGGAATGCCGGCAGCACGTGTCGAGCAGGCGCTCTAGGCGGCCTCGCGCAAGTGAACACGCTACTACTCGGCTTCTCGAAAATTACACAGCATTTCAGATATCTCCTGAAAGAAAAAGACTACGGAAATATGGAGACGTGACCGTAACTTCCTTGTCGTGGAAACAAAAAATAACTCGAATTCTCTTTGAGTTTCAATGTACGACTATCACCATTTTAAATCTATTTTTCTTGATGACACCTGCACGTAGAGTTTGAAATTCCCGAAATGGTTTCTCCTGATTTACGAGCTTCTAATTTGAAAAAAAAAAGAATCCTTTCGAACACAAATAGTTTGCATTTTAAACTTCTGAACATGGTAAGCAATGTTCAATTTTTTTCTGAAATTAATCAACAACATAGTTCAAGTACATAAATATTTCTAAGTTATATCAAGAAAGAATGAGTTTGTAATTTAGTTTTCTTTCGAATTTAAAGTATAAATGTTAGTATTGTACTTACTGCTTTTACTCTGGCAAGAAGAATATTGCAGGCTTGTGGTTCCAGTAGACCGTGTTCCGTTCCAGATGACAGAACTGGTGTTTCGTTCGTGTCCTTGGAATGGGCGTTCTCCCATAAACGTCCGAAGAATTCTCACGGATAAATCAACATTTCATTACTCAAGTATTGGTCTATTACACTGTAGAATCGTTGTACAAAGCTGTTCCGCGACTATTTCTTACTCACGTGTAAACATATTAGAGTGTAGAAAATGCTTAATAAGCGCTTTACATACAGCACTGAACAAATTTACATTTAAACTGTAATATTGTCCTTTCTTCAGACATTTTCTCTAAAGCAGTGTGACACGTTTGTCCTGTCATGGTTTGCCCCTTTTTTGTATTCACTTGCACACTCACTGCTTAAATACGTGCTTCTTGATCACAATTTTGAATTAAGAACGAAGAGATCTTCAATTCGAGCAGTTTTCTACGCCGACTTATAAGTGTGACTCTTTCTTCTCAAGAGATTAACACTGACTGAGCGTAGTGCAGTATATTTCGAGTCGATTTTGTTGAAGTCGATTATTATCGATATCGTAGTGACAAGGTTTACCGCCAGTTGTCAATGGTAATATGAATTGTTAACCGCCGAATACAAAGCAAAAACAGTTCAGGTCGGATAAAAACTCATTTAATTAAAAATATGTTACAAAGAGAAGCACTAAAATGCGCAAAGAAACATTCTTCACCATGAATATTATTTCACCGTACCAATAAATATGTTGAACTGATGGTAATGCGAGAAAATGAATATTTTCTTGGAGATGCAATCTATTCTTAGTAGGGCACGAATTGAGCATTCATCTTACAAAAAAGTACGATCATGCCTATAATTGCATTCGCTGAAATTTGTAGGCAACCGCCACCTCCCCCGATAAAAACACACAATACACATACAGAACTAATTAAAGCAGTTGACACTCCCGGAATCATCCAGTAAACCAATGAAGTGCCAGCAAGATTTTTTAGTTTCTTCCGAATATGGACGATATTCAATGATACTTGCAACAAAACAGTGGCCATTGGGGATTGGGCGAGCAGTAGTTCGTTATTGGGTGCACGTCGAATGTGTGGAGCCGTCTTAACACATTATTAAGGCTCGGCTTTTAGGTGCTAAAAATGGGGGGGGGATAATGTGAACAATTTTAAAAAGTGAAAAATATGTGCGAAATATAAATTATTATATGATTTGACGAACATATTTATTTATATGCAATCAAAATATTTATTTTTAGGCGCTATGCAATTTGGTGTATGGAAACCATGGGGCGTTGCTTGAATTTTCATTTAATTTTAAACGCTCAAGGTTAAAGGGGGGAGGAGTGTATGTATAATTATGTATAATTCCTAAAAGTCCGAACCCAGACATCACTTTAACGCTCAGTGCTACCCGTGTTGGTTTACAACGCGGCATTTTTTATTCGGGCAGGGCCCATAGATCCCCAGCTGACCCCTCTGGGGCCCGTGGATGCGCTCATCTCGCGCGAAAGCACATCCCTTCGCCTTTTCGCGCCAGCATCCTGCCCGCCTCCGGCGGCGGCGGCGCGTCTGACTCTCTGCCGCGCAGCCGTCGCGCGCCGCGCCCGGCGTTCGCTCGCGCCCGCCATGCATTAATGAACGAATGGCGCGACCGCAGCCCGGCGGGCGGGGCGGCGCGGGGCGGGGCGGCGCGGGCGGAGCGGGGGGGCGGGGGGCTCACCCCGCTCCGAATAAAGGCCAAAGGTCCGTCGCCGTGCTCTATTGATAGGAAGCCCGCGATGACCGTTTCGCCGCCCACGATCTCTGCAGAAGTATGGGCGGCTTCCCGGATCCCGATGAAACGCCACCCCGGGAAAAAGCTATTTAACGCAAGCGTTTTAAATTTAAAAAAGCATTTACTGATTGTCTTTCGTTTAAATTAATTGTAATGTTACAAGTTGAACTTTACTGTCACAAATTGTTTACCATCGTGTTAACAAAACAGCTGCGTAGCATTCTGCTTATATTAAATTTACATGCCCCCCCCTACATTTTATTGCAAAAAGGTTTCAGGTAATAATTTGTTGCCATCTTTAAATTTGATGCTATTGACACTTTTCATAAAACTATAAAATATTTTAGAGTATGTGTTACAGAACTTTCTTAAAGACATTACAATGATATAATTGAAAAGTATAATATAAATATTCTTGGGTGCCTACCAAAAACTACGACCACCATCCTTCCTACGTGTACGCGGGATTTCGATATCCGAAATGCAATTTTCGCACAACAGTGCTGAATCATGGGACAAATATGCCGCAGAAGTAGTGTTCGTAATACTTTTAGTTATGGAGAAATTCAATCACCCCTTAATTTGTAAATGGAACTACGAAACTTTTTTCTTCTCAAGCGGATAATCATAAAAAGAGGAATGTTTCATTTTTGTATGGTTTCAAAGTATGTGAGAGTGATAAATTACTTTCTGATATGACACTTCGTAACACCGTCGCGTAACTTCGACGCGTCGAATCTTCGTAACTCTAATCCCAATAGTGATGCGACTTTGATGTCGATGTTTTCCAAACATCGATTACATTGAATCCGATGTTTTTAACATCGATGCTTTTTGCTCGATGTTTTGTTTATGTATTTAAAATATTTAAAATCACAATTTTGTAAAAGTTAAAATATGAAATAATAACTGAAAATCTTCCATTGAGCAAACTCGACCGAGATGGTCGTCATGTCATAGTATTTCCTTTGTTTTCAACGTTACGTGCAGAAATGTTTTATAACTTTATTGTGAGTAAAATTTTAATTGTAAATTAAAATGCATTGCCACAACCAAATTAAATGTTGTTACACACGAATTTAATGTTGGAGGATCCTAAACCAGCTTTAAAAAAACATCGGTGCTGAAAACATCGATGGTTTGTGCTCCGTGTATTATTAATATCGGTGTTTGAATTTTGAACATCTTTAGGGAGTTTTTGCATCTCGAAACATTACAGCAATCGACAGTGCTATCGATCTTCTGCGCATGCGCATTTCAGTTTTCGCATCTGCACATGCTCAGAAGATCAATATTCTGTCCGCCATGGCATGCACAAATTCCCTATTAGGAACTTAAACTGTGCATGCGCAGAAAATCGACAGTGATTTAACGATCGAGGGTGCACAGACTCCCTATGGTGAATCGACGTAGACGCAAAAGATCGATTGTGCTGTCGATTGCTGCCCGCTAGGCCAAAGCGAGCGAAATACGTAGTTCGTGCACGCCGTAGCGTCAGGACTTTCGATCTTCTGCGCATGTGCAGATGCACTAAAAAAAGTGCATAACTTGAACTGCTTATGCGCAGAAGATCGATAGTGATTTAACGTTCGAGGTTGCACAAACTCCCTAATATCCCTAATGTTTGGCAACAACCATGCTATGTGGTTGATGTTGCATAACTATACTGGGATTTATTTAACCGTGTACTTGACGTAAATCAGCTGCTCACAGTTTCATCCAATCGCGAGCTTGAACGTCGCGATAGTGACATCACTGTAGCGACATACGAGCTCCCGATTGGTGGAGACCGCAACAGCTGACTTACGTCAAGCGCGCGACAAAATAAATCGTACTGTAAATCCCGAGGGTAACCTGTGTCTCTGTGCGCGTCGCTCGCGAGTATTGGCCGTGGCGGGCGGGGGGAGGGGAAGTGCCGGAGGGAGGGGAGGGGCGCGGTGTCGCGGGGAGGTAACCGGCGCGACCGCTCTTCCCTCCTGCCTTCCCCCCTCTCCGTCTGCTCTGCTGGCCGTTGCACAGGCAGGCTGGAATTGATGGAGTTCAGCGACCTGGCACACCCTTCGTCTAGTATCCCTTATCGGACAGAATCGATTCTTATGTCGCGAGGTCCATGAACTGAAGTGAAGAAAAAGGAATTTCGTTTCGAAGTTCAAATGAGAAAGACGCGTTAACATTAATGAAGAATGTATTTTAGCTCAAGGATGTTTTACGTTAATTGCCTAGGCCGAAGATTAGTCTCGTCACGGATATCGACGCTTGTAGCGATACATCGCGTCACGCGATATACGCGTCAATACATCATATGTGCTTTAAGTATTGGACACGGAGGTTACTTTGGGATGAAATGCTTTGAAAATAGTGCGTTAATCACTCAAAGATGTGTTTTAATCACAAAGCCGAAGCCAGTGCGTTGTTATAAAATTGGTCACGCCTAGCAAAGTGCCAATTCGCCTTAAAATTGGGAGTTCTCTAAAATAATCTTAAACCGCCAATGTTCTCTACTCTGCCTAAAATATATTAAATAAAAAAGACGACATGTAATTTTAGAGCCTGTGATTTATTGGATTCTAAAGTATATCACTTCGTTTTTTTACTGTGAACTGAGTACTATCCTAGCTGATATGAATAACGACGATGGCGGAATTTTGCATTCAAGCTATGTACTAGCGAGGTCGAATTCAGCTGCTGTTTGGAAGAGTCTAGCTGGTATGATTGGTAATTTTCCGTGGTTTATCCTATCAATAACATCCGAATGCCGCCTCCCTGGATGAAACATTCACTACACTGACGGGATTAATGACCAGTAGCAGTTGACCTGCCCGCAAACATCAATCAATCGCCCTTTTACTCCAATTGATTCAATAATTAATCGGTTAAGGCGACCAGAAAAACTTGACATTTAGACCCATCTTGATTAACACGAGAATGTTTAATTAAGTTAAGCCGAAACGTGTGCCTTCATTTCTTACCTTCTGCGGTACAGTCCTATGGGTAGTAATATTTATGCCTGTAGTTTTTCTTTGGTGTCAAGCGAGACGCCGCGTGTCAGTCAGGTTAAGACGGGCTAAGATAAACATATGGGCTCCAGCCATTCAAAGACTTGTAAACCACCAACACTTCCGTCTCCTACCCTTCCCCAACCCTGAGCTAATGCAGTCCGTTGGTCCCCATCCCCCGTCCTCTTCGGGGGCGAGGCCGCCCGCGGCAACGGCTCCCCGGGGGGGCTGTGCGCTTGTCAACAGGGCGTCTGCGGAGGCCGCTGCCTCATTGAGGTCGCTGCCCTCGGCGGCGGCGGAGGGGGAGTTAAAGGGCCGAGAATCCATTGCGGCCCCGAGCGGTGCAATTACTTCGGGCTCAGCAAACAGCCGCGGCCCGTCGCTCCGGATTCCGGTAAATCACCGAGCTCCATTAACCAGGAGATTCGCTCCCGAAATCTAATTT